AACACGTCGGGGCTCCAAGGCAGTGACCGGGGCCCAAGTGTGACTGGTGGTGGGGGCTGCAGGGGGCCAGCCCCGGCTCACTTTGACAGGGGAAGAAGTCAGGTACCCATCTCCTTTTTCTAAAGCTGCCTCCCCTGGGGAGCCCCAACCTGATCCCCAAGCACCTGCAGCTACAAGGGCCCGGGGTGTGCCTGCCCCCTCACTGCACAAATGTGGTGGTGGCCCTGCAGGGGCTGGGCATCTTCCAGAAGCTCTCCACCCCAGAGCCACTCGCTGCTCTTTGGGCTCATCCTGTTTCCAGCGTGAGTCCTTCCAGTGAGCCTACACCTGGTGGCCGCTTCAGGCCGCTGGCCGCCTCCTGCCTTGTTCTCTGCAGGAAGGGGCCTCCTTGAAGCCAGGCTGGCAGGGACGCTAAAGGGGCGCCTGATCACCATCCTTAGCGCCGCAGATGGCTCCTGCAGTTTGTCAGGGGGCCCGCCTCCTAGATGACCTCTTAATAAATTAGTGGCCCCCAATGGAATCAAGTGCATTCAGTGGGGAGTCGGGTGGCGCTGTCCTTGAGGGGAGGGACCTGTTCCCGCAGCCTTTGTTTTCAGGGCTCCTGCCACTGACAGGCAGCTCCCCAACTGGCCTTCCCGTAGCCCTGCCCAGGAGAGGGGATTCTGCCCTCTGGGGATGCGGGAAACCCACCAACTCCCTCAGACACCTCCAAGGCTGGTAGAAACAGGGATGAGGATTAAAACCAGCCAGGTGCCTCCTCACTCCCCACAGCCTCCCTCAAGAGCTAGGGTGTCTACCTGCAGCACTTGACTTTGGATGCCTTTGAGATCAGGGCTTCGAAGCCCAAGTCATGTGAGCTATTTGGCATTTCTTGAAGGTGGCAGTTCTGTTTCCCTTTAATGAGCATTAAGTGAGAACCAGCAGGAAACTATAAGGAGGATTGCTGGAATGGCACATCCAGGGGCAAAAAAGCAGTGTGAGGTCAGAAAAAGGAGAAAAGGCAGTTTGAACTTCCTAGATTTGGGGAATCCAGGAGCCAGCCAGGCGACCTTGAGGGGGCTGAGGCAGGGGCGAAGGACTTCATGAGTCCTGCTGTGGAGACGGGCTTCCCGAGCCCTCACCTCCTAGAAATTCATTGCCACCAGAATGTGAACAGAGTATCAAGAAAGGAAAGTAGTTAAGGAGCAGGCAGAAGAGGAGGGAGAGGCTGCAGTTGTGATGCCAGGACCTCAAAGGTCAGGGAAGTGGAGACGCAAGGGGGGCCCGCGTGCTGATCATAGAAGTCCACTCGCAGCCTGACCCTGAGCCAAGTGCTTTATGTGCATTTATTATTTACAGACTTTCTTTCTTAGAACAGCTTTAGGTGCGCAGCAAAGTTGAGCAGAAAGTACAGAGAGTTCCCACATCCCCAACCTACGCTGACATGTCATCATCACCCAAACCCGAGTGGGCATTAGGTTTCCCTCTTGGTGTTCTACAGACTGTGGGTTTGACAAACGGGTAATGACATGTATCTACAACTGTAGTATCATACAAGTATTCACTTTTCAATCTCTTATTATAGAAAATTTCAGACGTCCCCTGAAGGAGAACAGTATCACTGAGCCCTGTGTATCCACTGGGCTGCCACATTGATTACAATGTGGCCAGTGTTCCATCTGCACCTCTCACAGCACATGGCACCTTAGTTCCTCCAATGGCACTCCGGTTATGCACATACTACCTGCATGGGCCTCATGACAGCCCTAGCGAGAAACGACTATCATCCCCATTTACCGGAGAGAGAAAAGTCCCTGGTGAGTTCAGGAGAATTCCACTGGAGCCAGGAGGTTAGAAGCCAGGTAAGTGGGGCTCCGCAAGGTTGGTAGCTTGTTCCCAAATGAAACAGAACCTCACTGAAAGTCCACACTTGAGGCTGGGAGGCATGTGGGCCCCACTGTGCCTCTCATACAACTGCTGTAATTGCCTGACCTTCCCCAAACATCCACCAAGGGCCTACCCTGGCCTGGGTTACATCTGGGAATGTAGGAGTGAGCCCCAGTGATGGTCCCTTACTCCTCAGGGGGCTGTGTCCTCACTGGGAGTCGCCTGAATCACACAGATGGAAACAGCAAGCCCCTTTATCCTCCACTTGGCCCAACCCAGGCTAGGAAGCTGATGATGGTATGGAGCACAGCCTGCCCGAATTTCCAAAGTGGAGGTAAAGGTTTATCCTTCAGTCCTTCTCCACCCGGGCGCCAGGGTGGTGCCCCTCCCTCCACCTACCCTTCAGTAGTTAGGTCATCTTTGTTGTAAGTGCCAGGATCCCAACTCAAACTGACATAAGCAAAAATAAGTGATGACAGGGCTGGGGCACTTAGTGTTCCCATATTGGACCCCAAAGCCCACAGGTGATTCTAGCCCCTGTTACGTTATCAGGACATGAGCTCCCTCCATTTCTTGGCTCTACTTTTCTCTGTATTTGCTTCATTTTCAAACATGCTGTCTCCCCCACATAGGGGGAGCAGTAGTAGAGGTCCCAGTTTAGCAATCCCAGCTAAAAAGCTCCCACCGTCCCAATACTTGTAGTACAAATCCCTGGGAACTAGCTCTCATTGGTCCAGATCAGATTATGGGCTTATCCTTGTGTCAGTCGGTCTGGCTCCAACTGGCTGCACCTAGGCATGTGCCCACCACAGAAGCCAGTGTCGGAGTGACCCACATCCAGACCTTGTGTACGAAGCATGGAGGAGGGACAGCTCCCACAAAGAAAACTGAGGTGCTGTTACCCGATGCTGGGCAGGCAAAAATGAGAGTTGCCACCGCTTCCCTGTAAATACCAAATGCATGCCATACTTGTGCTTGTAGAGAACATGTTTTCCACGCATGCTTATTTATCATATAGTATTCCTGAAGACAGCTGCCCGGAGACCAGGAGGAAAGCATACCTCTCAGGGTCGCCATTGTGCCCCTACGACACAGTACAGCGGCCAGTCTCCCATCTGAACTGCATTTATGTTTTGGCTGTCACTGTCGTCTGTTCTATATGTTCTCCCAGTCCAGATGACTTATCTTTTGGAACTAGGTATGTTTGATTGATTTGTAGAGCTCTTCCTCCTCTCCTGGGGCAAACTATTAATCCCCTAAACCACCTACGAACATTCGCTTGCCTTTAAGTAGCCGTCCTTTTGTCCTGTAGAGGCCTCCCCATTGCCTCATGCCAGACACCCCACCAGCCCACTCTGGCTTTTCAGGGATGGCCGAAGTGATTGACAGTAATGGGGAGCAGCCTTCCAACTCCATCTACTCCCCCCCTGAGCCCGGGCACCAATTTAATTTAGTTGGATTATTAAAACGCAGATTCCCTCCAGGGAGGACAAGTCTTTTAGGTTGTCCTTCCCCAGCTCTTCTGGCTGACCCATTCCCCTTCTCCATCTGGCCGGTAATACCCCATCCTCAGCCCCACCCCCACTGCCCTTTTGCAAACTGCCTCTTCGTTGCAGCATTGTGCCCAACGCTGGCCTCTCACCTGTGCCAGGCTGCTTCCGTCGGGACCCCCTCACCCTCATCTGAGAGAGATAGTATGGGGGATGTTCTGAGACACAGAGTACACACACACAAACGGCTTATGCCTTGCTGGTCCTCTGAGGCTCAAGAACAGCCTAGAGCTAGGGCCTCTGAATGTTTTTGATCGCTGACATAAATCAAACCCTCTTGAGCATACCCCCCACCACGTGTTTATCTGTTGACATAGCACATGTACTACCCATCTGAACTTCATGAAACACAATTTTTAAATAACTAAAATGTATTTAAGTTTAAACTAATAGTTTTATTATTAAAGTCATTATGTGCCTGAAAAAATAAAATACAGATGCCGATTTGTTTTGTTGACATTCTCAGCGATGTGTCTTCAGCACCTCCTGTGGGCAAGTACCTGTGACTCAGGACCACTAGCCTCCATCACAGCTGTGACAAGTTTTTCCAGAGCAGTATGTAGCCACTGCCCCACTGGCGGGCTGATTGCAGTTGCCCAGCAGCCTTTCCGAACATGCAAATCCCCTTAGCCTCAGCACTTGCTTATTGTCTCTCCATGTCCTTTCCACACCCTCACCACCTCTTTGCCCAACTTATGCCATCTGTTTGCATTCCTTTTCCGTGAAGCCTTCAGACCCTGCTAGTGGCGCCAAATAGTTTTGAAAGGCGGACAAGCCCACTGATGTCCCACAGTTTGGAAGTAGACACTCGGTCATTGCTTGAACGAGGGAAGGTGGAACGAGGCGCAGCCTGACTCTGGACTCCCACCACCACCACCAGCAGCCCCCCCCGGGGCGACCGAGCCCTGCTTCCGGCTAAGCCTGTGTTCCACTGGCCCCGAGAGGCCGCAGAGTGGGCATGACCAGGGCTCCTGCCCGGAGCCTGTCGCCCGGTCGCCAACTCCAGAACACTCGGACCAGCGACCCGAGAGGAACCCCGTGCGGGCCAACCACGACCCGGAAGGCGTCCAGGTCCGCGCGCCCGCGCCAACTCGTCGCTCCCAGATACGTCATATCCGCTCGGAACCGGCCCGGGTCGCCAGAGGTGAGGCAGCCGGCCGCCGCCGGGGGGGGGGGGGGGGGGGGGCGGAGCCTCGGCGGGGCGGGGCCGGGGCGCCAGCAAGCGAGGCGGGGCCCCCTGCGGGCCGAGCTCGCAGGCGTCCGCCGGCCGGGCAGGCGCTGGCCCCGGCGCCGAGCTCCCGGGCCTCGGCGGCAGGTGAGAGCTTTGGGCCGGAAAGGGCGGGCGGAAGGCGGCCCCCGGCCCCGGCCCGGCTCCGTGCTCGCTCGCTCGCTCGGGCGGCCGGGCCCGGCCAGGGACGGGCGCGGCCGCAGGGCCTGGGAGTGGCGTGAGGGCCACTAGCGCGATCCGGGGACCGCCCGGGCGGCTCACCCGCCTGCCGACTGCAGGACGGCCGCGCGAGCGCGGCGGCGGCGGGGCGCAGCTGCCTCCTCGGTTCGCGCTCGCGCTCTGTGCCCAACCCGGCAACTTCCGGACTCCCGGGTAGGGAGGAGCCCCGGGTCAGCAATGCCAACTGTCCTAACACCCAACACACGGCCGGTGAGGAAAAAGCGCTCGGCCCAGGGTTCCCTCCCCTGCCTTGGGGTGCATCTGCTCAAACTCTTCCAGTCCCTCAAGCAGAAATGGTGTGGGTTCTGGGCCAGAACCCTCTTGCAGTGACTCAAAGCCGCCAACCGTGCCGGAAGGACAGGGTGGATGGCCCTTAGCCTCCTCTCCCTTCTGAACTGGTTCACGCCACCCCAGTGGCTTCAGTCCCGGGTGCTGTCGTCTTTTCCGTGTGACTCCCCTCCGCTTTGCTTCTCATACTTCCTCTGGTTTTCCTGCCTCCCTCTTCCGCGGTGGGATGCAAAGCTGGACCAAGGCCTCCCGGGTAAGTGACCCAAACTCCAAACCAGCAGAGGCCATGGCATGCAGGGGTGGGGGAGCTTTCCCAGGGATGAGCTTTTTGCTTAACCTGCCCTTCACCCCCTACTTCCCCAGCCCCCCAGTCTCAGATGAGGGGGAACAGTGTCAAAGACTGATAGATATGGAGGGGCAAGGGCCTCTTCCAGGACTGGGACACCGCAGTGAGGCACTGTGAGGCAACCAACAGTAGTGAGGCTAAACCATTATGTCCCTGCCCTGGTTGCCCCAGGTCCAGCAGGTGATGCCGGCTGCCCAGATTGAGAAGTGGAAGCAGACAAACCTTTCATCCTGAGGCACCCTCCCCCCACCCAGAAACACTTACAGTCCCACTGGAAGTTCTAGGCTTTGGTAGGACCTCATGTGGGCATGGTAAGGAGGCCCTGGACTCCAGACAGAGCCTCTCAGATGTGACACAGTGCTTCTAGGAGCTCAAATTCTGGGGACTGCCAGAGGAGTGGGAGCTCTGACAGGAGGAAGAAAAGCACCTAGCAAACACAGTGGTCCTATCTGACCCCCTCCTGCTTCCCCTTCTAGCAGTTTCCTTGGGGAGAGAGGACCTGCTGTCTGCCCCAGGACCCCCACCTCACCACTGTCGGCAGGTAGGAGAGACCAGGTAGCCACAGCAGCACCATTCACAACTGCATGTCGTGGTAGATGTCAGCCCCTGAGGCCTTAGGCCAGATGGTTACCCACTCACCGCACACGCTACTTTACCGGCTGCTTTCTGCCTGGCCGACGATGCTCAAACACCCTGATGGCCTCTCACATGTGGCCCAAGCCGGTGTTTCAGCACCCACCTCTCAGCAGGCTGGTCTCCTTGCCATCCCCATGCAGCCTTTCAGAGATTTCATCCTGGGTGCGGTGTCCCTGTGGCCCCTCTGTGTCTGTGTCAGTCGAAGCCCGTGGGGAACAGGCTGGTGGTGACAGGGTTGGGAGTGGCTCTCCCAAATCCCTTGGTATCAGGACCTTTCTGCATGTTCACTGTGCTAGAAAAGGCCAGGGAAAGCAGCAGGTAGCAGCAGTCTGAAAGGCAACTCCTCTCTGTAGATGGCCCCTCTGGGTGAGGGATGGGAAACTTGAGGCACGTATGCTGGGAAAGGGGACAGCCAAATGGCACTCAAGGGCCAGCACTAGGCATTGCCTTTCTGTTCCTGGGTTTCGTGCTAGGGGCTCTGCTGGGTCTCCCCGTAGTGGGCTTCCAGATCCCCTTGCTCCTGGACTCACAGCTGCTCACCCTTACCAGCCACCTTTCTTTGTCCCTTCTGTCCTCAGGAAGAGCTCTGCCATCAAAGAACACAGCACAGGGCCAGGCCCGGCCCATGGACCCTTCTCCAGACAACCCGACGGCACCAGTGGGGCTGCTCTCCTAAGCCACAGAGGGCCTGGGCACACGGTCCTCTGGGAGGAGCCATGGTGTTTAGGAGGGGCAGGGGCAGCTCCCAGTGGTGGCCTGGACTGGGAGGTTGCCCTGGCCCCCTAGGCATGTTCAGGGCTTTCTTGCTACTTGTCAGCCTGCCTTTGGGAGCCCGGGGAATAGCCACTGCCAACCTCAGCACAGCTCTGGGCCATACTGTGCCGCTGACAGGGGGCCAATACTTGAGCATTGGGGATGGCTCTGTGATGGAATTTGAATTCCCAGAAGAGAGCGAGGGCATCATTGTAATCTCGAGCCAGTACCCAGGCCAGGGCAACAGGACAGGGCCTGGCCCCATGCTGAGGGTCACCTCCTTGGACACAGAGGTGCTGACCATCAAGAATGTGAGTGCCATAACCTGGGGCGGTGGGGGCGGCTTTGTGGTGAGCATCCACTCGGGCCTGCCTGGGCTGGCCCCACTCCACATCCAGCTCCTGGACCCCCACGAGGCCCCACCCATGCTAATTGAGGAACGGAGAGATTTCCGCATCAAGGTCTCACCTGCTGAAGACACCCCCACCACCCTTGGCACCGACTTGGTCCACTTCTCGGAGAACCCAATACTCTACTTGCTCCTGCCTCTTATCTTTGTCAACAAGTGTTCATTTGGGTGCAAAGTAGAACTCGAGGTTCTGAAGGGGCTCCTGCAGAGCCCCCAGCCCATGCTGCTGGGCCTCCTAGGCCAGTTCCTGGTCATGCCCTTCTATGCTTTCCTGATGGCCAAGGTCTTCATGCTGCCCAAGGCCCTGGCTCTAGGCCTCATCATCACCTGCTCGTCGCCTGGCGGCGGGGGTAGCTACCTCTTCAGCCTCCTCCTTGGAGGGGACGTCACCCTGGCCATTTCCATGACTTTCATCTCAACAGTGGCTGCCACCGGTTTCCTGCCATTGTCCTCAGCCATCTACAGCCGCCTGCTCAGCATCCATGAAACACTTCACGTGCCCATCTCCAAGATCCTGGGGACCCTGCTGTTCATCGCCATCCCCATAGCAGCAGGCGTGGTGATCAAGTCCAAGCTCCCCAAGTTCTCCCAGTTGCTGCTGCAGGTCATCAAGCCCTTCAGCTTTGTGCTTCTCCTGGGTGGCCTCTTCCTGGCCTACCGCATGGGGGTCTTCATCCTGGCAGGCGTCAGGCTGCCCATCGTGCTGGTGGGCCTCACAGTGCCCCTGGTTGGCCTCCTGGTGGGCTACTGCCTGGCCACATGCCTGAAGCTGCCAGTGGCCCAGCGGCGGACGGTCAGCATTGAGGTAGGGGTACAGAACAGCGTGCTGGCCTTGGCCATGCTGCAATTGTCCCTCCGTCGCCTTCAAGCAAACTACGCCTCCCAGGCCCCCTTCATTGTAGCACTGAGTGGCACCTCAGAAATGCTGGCCTTGGTCGTTGGCCACTTCATCTATAGCAACCTCTGCCCAGTCCCCTGAGGCCCCTGGGTCAAGCTTTCACCACCCTTCGCCCCCACCCTCCACCCACTGTACCCACACTTCTTGTGTACCAAAGGCCTTCAGCTCTCATGCACTATGCACTCAGAAAAAAAATCCAGGCTTATTTTTTTTACTGGTTTTTTATTCTCCAGCTTTCAGTGCCAAAGAGGCCATGCTGAGTTAGGTAGGTGGGCACTGCTCAGAAAATATATTTCAATAAAAGAGAGAAGCAAGCTTGGGTGCCTTCCAGTCTTTGCCCTTAGGGGCCTGGGGGTGGGGGGTGGGGGTAGGAAGGGTGTGGCTGGGTAGATGTGGGCCAGGCTGGAGGACTGGCTTGTGTGACGATGGTGACCTCTGCCCAGACTCTCTCAACCCTCCTTCCCCATGCATCCCCTGTCTGTTAGACGTGGTCCCTACTGTTCTAGAATGAGCGTGGGAGGATGAGGGCAGAGGCCGGGCTCCCCAGCCAGCTCTCAAGCTCAGTTGATTTTCTGCAGCCAGGCCAGAAGAGAGGAGGCAGAAGGCCCTCGGGCAGTGGGGCACTGGGCCATTACGTGGACTCCTGAGTGAGAATCAGGGTTTGCACGACTTGCCCCACCAGTCCGCTGGGGGCAACCATACTCCTGGCCCTCCCTCCCCCCTCCCCAAGCCCCAGCTCCCACAGGAAGCCAACCTGGCCCAACTCGCTCCTCCTCCCTCTCGTGGCGGACTTCCAGGCACCGTCGCCGTAGGGAAATCTGTCAGTCCGCGCGGTCCCTGCGCGTTCACGAGGCGGGACTCCAAGGTGACTCCTCCCGGGCCGACAGGGGCGGGCCGAGCCGGGCCGCGCGGGGCGGGGCGGGAAGGGGGCGGGGCCGGGGCGCGCCCCTCGCGCTGCTTCCGGCGGCGGCGGGCGGTTCCGGCGCGCGCCCGGGGCGGCGGCGCGTAGCGGGGGGCCGTTGGGGTGCGCGCCCGCCGCAGTGGACGCCGCCGCGGCCGCCATGCAGCTGACAGTGAAAGCGCTTCAGGGCCGCGAGTGCAGCCTGCAGGTAGCGTCACCGGGCCCCAGTCGCCGTGCCCGCTCGCGCACTCACCACCCCCTGGGCGCGGGGATGGGCCGGGCCGAGGGCGGGGATGGGGAGGCCGGGAGAGCCTCCCTCGACGGGAGCCGCGGACTCAACCCCTGCCTCGTACCCTCGGCCCGGCCAGGTGTCGGAGGACGAGCCGGTGTCCACGCTGAAACATCTGGTTTCTGAGAAGCTCAACGTCCCCGTGCGCCAGCAGCGGCTGCTGTTCAAGGGCAAGGCCCTGGCAGGTACCCGGGAAGAGGAGACGCCCAGGGAGCCCCGCAGGAATTCAGGGGACGGGGTGTCTAGGCCGAGCCCGGGAAGGAGTGTGATGGATGGGGTGCTGGCCATTCTACCCTCAGGGAGGTGACTGAACCCTCCTCAGACAGATGCTGCAGAGCTTCGCCGTGGGTAACGACTCCATCAATCTCTCTTTGGCAGATGGGAAAAGACTCTCCGATTACAGCGTTGGGCCCAATTCCAAGCTCAACCTAGTGGTCAAACCTCTGGAGAAGGTGTTACTGGAAGAAAGCAGCGCCCGGAGACTGGCCGAGGTCCCACCACCGTCCACACCAGCCTGGCAGCTGATCTCCAAAGTCCTGGCCCACCACTTCAGTGCTGCAGATGCCAGCAGAGTCCTGGATCAACTACAGAGGGTGAGAAGGGCGGCGCAGGACATCCACTCCCTGCCCAGCTGTGCCCATCCCCTGCCTCGGTCATAGGGTACCCCCAACCGGCACCCCCTGAATCCTTCTGGCCTTCTCTCCTCAGGATTATGAGAGGTCCCTGAACCGCCTGACGCTGGATGACATCGAACGCTTGGCTAACCGCTTTCTGCACCCCGAAGTGACTGAAGCTATGGAGAAGGGGTTCTCCAAATAGGATTCTCAGAGTGTGGGGAGGAGCCCGGCCAGGCCACAAGCTGCATGTAGCATTAAATGTGTTCTTCTGTTGCAATTTGGCTCAGAATCATCATCATCATCATCACCATCATCACCGCCGGCAGGTACCTGGGTGCCCATACCTGGTTCTCACTAGGTGCCAGGCACAGCTCACAGCACTTGACATGGGTTTGCTCCCACACCTCACACAAAAGGTAAGACAATGAGGCACCTAGCAGTGAAGTGGGGGAGCCAGCGTCTGAGTGCAGCCAGCTTCTAGAAATGCCTCAGGGTGCAAAGGAACAAAGGGGCTGTTTGGACGGGTTCCAAGGGATGGGCTTTGGCCTATCATGTTTAGCCCACTGAGAATAAACCCTCCAGAAACTCTTCTTCAGGCCTGAAAGGGGAAGCAGCTGGCCCCTGCTGCCCAGTCCTGTCACCTGACCTCAGAACAGGTTCGGGACATTGGCAGGAGGCCAAGTGACAGCGAGCCCCGGGGCCCCCTCAGCCGCTGCAGCCAGTGAGCACTCGACAAGGAAAAGCAGGTCAGGGAGTTGGGGACCTCTGCGGTATGACCTCAGGCAAGTCCCTGTGCCACGTCGGTCCCTAGTTGTTAACTCTGCACAATGCGGGCCACTCTTGAAAGCTCCTTTTCCTTCATCCTTACCCAGCCCCGGGGTGAGAGGTCTGCAGCCCTCCCCCTGTACTCCATAAACAGGCCAAAAACCGAGCAATGGCCAAGCGTGGCCCAGAGATGCGATGTCCTGGCCCTTCACGTCACAGCTCTTTGGGTACTCCCTGTGCTTGTCTCCCCCTGGACATGAGCATTTCTCATCTCTGAGGGATGACAGGTGACTGACTGAGGTCACTCAGCCTTGGCCAGGCTCCCACACCCTGCGTTCACCCACAGTGTGGAAGTGGACCCTTCCCCTGCCGCATGGATACAGGGCCTTTCACTCTGCACACGCCTCACTGCCTAAGAGGAACCCTCAGAGTGCCAGGGAGGGGGTAGAAGCCTGGGCTGGTGGCGCTGATCCTCCTACCTTGCCTGGTGTATGGGCACTAGAGGTCACTAGGCACCTGCTCCTTGGCAGAGGATACCTAGGGCTGTCAAGGCTAGAAGGAAGCTGCCCTCCTGCCTGGGCCCCATCGGGTGAATGCTGGGTCCCCAGGCTGGGAAGACAGAGGCCCAATGGGCGAAGGCTTTGAAGAGCAGAAGAAAGTCCCTGGCTCCGCCCGAGAGCTGGGAATATCAAACAGCAGGGCCCGCTAAGAAACTGGTGTGGTCTGGCAGCTCATGTGATACTTACCAGTGCTCTCATTTTATTTTGAGTCAGGAAATTTTTGTTGAAATTTTGAATCCCACTAAAGGTGAACATGAGACTGACTCTTACCCAAAAGGAACTGTATTAGCTAGGCTGCTTTTGGTTTCCAATAATTGGTTTAACCATGGAAGAAATTGGTTTAAACAATAAAGGAAACATTGGTTTACCAAACAGAGAAGTCCAGGGGTATTGGCAGCAGATGGACAATTTCACCAAATACCCAGTTTCTTCCTACCTCCCCTCTGCACCCTGAAGTGTCTGCTCCCTCCCAGGCCGTTGCCTCAGGAGCAAAAGATGGCTGCCTGCAGTTTCCACTGAATCTTGTTCACAGCCAGCAAGGAGCACCTTCTCACCCTGTAGTGTATCTTCTTTCTCTGATGCCCCCAGCAAATAAACGCTGTGCTTGTATTAGTCAGAATCAGGTCATGCTCCAATCATTTTGGCCAGCGGTGGGGTGGGTGGTGGGAGGCTAGCCCCCTGGATACCCATGGGTGGGAGGGAGAGGGGGATTCTCTACAAAAGCCAGGGCTAAATGGTGGCCCCAAGCAGCAACTGTTCACTGCAGGGGAGTGACAGAGATATGTGTATTTCAACCGGACCCTAGAGATGGTCGTTGGGTCCCTTGTGCCCGTGCCCTCCTGGCTCGGGAGTGACAAGAACCCTTTGGTGATTAGGAACCACCCACCGGACACTTGGACGTGGGGGTCAGGAACTCAGCCGGGAGATCAGGATGGCCGTGGAGGCAGGAATGAGATCTTCAGGGTGTATGGTGGGACCCTGAGGGAGGAGCTGACTGGGACCCCGGCCCCGCCCAGTTCCAGAGCCCTGTGCAGCCTTCTACAACGACGATCAGGAGTTAGGTGTGGATAGGATGTCCTAGGGTCTCTGAAGACAGATGAGGTGGCTTCCCAGAGAGTGTAGCATGAAAAGAGAAGAGAGGATTGGGCCTTGAGGCATTTTACCAACTGGAGACATGGTAAAGGCCGAGGAGCTTCCTGACAGCAGGCCACAGGGAAAGGTCGCTATGAGAAGCCAAGAACACCCTTCCAGAAAGCAGGGTGTAGTCTGGTACTGCCAAGAGGCATTAATAACAAAGTCATTGGTGATGTTGGGGAGCAAGAAGTGGCTGCACGGTGGGGAGGGAAGAAGGTGGTGACAGTGACTGGGGACCCCACATTCTGGAAGCTTGTCTGTGCACAAGTGTGTAGCTGTGGCTGGGCAGGGATGGGCGAGCAAAGGGGGAAAGACAGGAGGGGAAAGGATGCTGCAGGGCTGGGAGTGGGAGGCCCAGGGGGAAGGGGCCTGTGCTGTCAGGGGAGGAGCCCACAGGCTGCACCCTGCCTTTGCCCCTAGAGTCTAGGGGTGGCCCCGTGTACACCTGCAGGCTCTGAATGCTGTGATTCTTCAACAGGGGTCGCAATGCTTAAGGCCAGCACTGTATCCCTCTGAACCAAGTGTCCACCCAGGAGGTGGGTACTGACCCACCTGCTACCGTTTGTGCCCTGGCCACTGTGGATCCCTGAGGCCCACTGCCTGCCCCCTTGGGGAGGGGCCTCGGGACAGCCCCTACCCCCGGGGACACAGTGCGCCGTACGGGCCCTGCTATTAATTGCAGTGATACCAGGAAACAACAGGATGAGTGAAGGGCCCAGCTGGAGGGGCCTCTCAGACAGAAATGGTCTGGAACCTAGAGTGAGATGCTTGTGGTGCCATTTCCCAAGGGCACACGGGAGGAGGGGCAGACTCAGGAGAGCAGCATTTGCTTTGGGGTGGGGCTCATTGAGTTGGAGGTACCCAAGCAACTAGGCTGTCCCCACAATTTGCTGGCACCTTCAGGCCTCCTGCACAGGCCTGGCTAAAACTGGGCCTTGCCAACTCTGATAGGTTCAACAGGGGTACAGCTTAGCCAGGCCAGGCTCTCCACGGAGCAGATATGACAGCTGTAGCCAGCTGCAGACCTCGGGGCCCTGAAAAGCCTGCAGGAGAGGCAACCACCCTTGCCCACCTCCAGGGCTCCTGGGGAACCACCCTGTCTGCATGCCCCTCTCAGGTGTTCACTCCTTCTCTAGCTCCTTTGCTGGTTCTTTCCCCCAACAAACTCTACCTCGTAATGTGGGGAGCTCCAGGGCCCTGTCCCCAGACCACTCCTCTCTCTATCACTTCCCAAGGGAGCTTGTCCACCTTCATTCCCATTTCTGTGCTTCACTCCTGGCCCTCCTTCCTGAGCTCCAGGCCACATCTCTAGAGCGACTGAGACAGCGCCTGGCCCTCCTGCAGATAGCTCATTCATTCCTTCAGTACACATTCACTGAGCACCCACCATGTCCCAAATGCTGGCAACGCCAGCACTGGAAGACACAGCTCCTTCCCTCGTGGCACTTCATCAGCCCCTCAGCGAGCACATTTTCTTCTCAGCCTGCCTCAGTGAATGGCAATAGCACTCAGCCAGACTTTTAACAACAGGAAGCAGGAGGCCACCTGTGTCTCTCAAAACTCTCCCTTCTCCATAGGCAATCAGGCAACAATATTTTTTTTATTTATTTACTTGTTGAGAGAGAGAGAGCGCATAAGCAGGGGGAGCTGCAGGCAAGGGAGAAGCAGGCTCCCCGCTGAGCAGGGACTCCATCCCAGGACCCTGGGATCATGACCTGAGCTGAAGGCAGACGCGTCACTCACTGAGCCACCCAGGCGTCCCAAGCAACAGTATTTTTGAAAGAATCCAGAGCACTTGCCATGTAGAATGTTCCAGAGTCTAGATTTTCCTGATACCTTCCTCATTCGATTCAGCTTAAGTGCTTTGAGAAGTTGCTATGTCCTTTCCCCTCCCCCCTCCAACAGCTTCAAGAGGCATTGGGGTCAGGCTGTCCCACTGTTGGGGAGGCTCAGTTTGGTCACATGGTCAAGGTCATATCTGACATGCCTCACAAAGTTGCATCTTCCTCTCCTAAAGTACAAGTAGTCTGGGGTAATACCTTGCGACCATGTGACTATCTTACTCCCCGACAACCTCTGTCTGCTGGTTTTACCATACAAGTAGGATCCTTGCCTGAATGAATTGCACTGATGGCTTCACAATGGTGGTTTGCTGCTACTTGCTTGCTGTCTACGATTATCAGTTGGCAGCATTTCTCTTGAAAGAGCTTTCCTTTTTCCCTGCTCTCTTTTCTTGATTATCATGGTAGATGCATCGGGGGTTTTTTATTCAATGACTTAGAATCCAAGAATATTGTTTTGGGGGGTAATTTTTATTGGACTATAGCATGCATACAGTAACATGCATTATTCATCAGTGTACAGCTCAATGGATTTTTGAAGTAAATACACCCATGTATCTGTCCCCTCAATATCAAAATGTAGTACATTGCCAGCACTCCAGCACCACCCTTGGTGCTCCCTTCCCAGTCATACTCCTCTCCGAAAGGTTTAATATCCTTTCAGATGACCACATTGTTCTAGCTGTGGTTCTTTCTGCTTGGCTCCCGTGTCCCTTGGCCATGCCTCATCCTTTTGTGTTTCAAGCACTTACTTACTTTTTGGCACTACAAAGTGCTCCAGGCTTATCTTGTATTTTTTTCCTGCCCCCAGCTCTAGAAGCAGCCATTTCTCCAAGAAGCTCTGGCTCCTTTTAGCGGAGAATGGTATTGAGAAACCCAGGTTTGGTTGTAAGGTGTGTTCATTGCTACTGGAATGTCATTGCTTCTAGGCTCTTCTACCAGACAAAACTAGGAAAACGTATTATTATTTTTTTTTTTAAGATTTTTTTTTTTTAATTTGTTTATTTACTTCAAGAGACTGAGAATGAGAGAGAGAGAGAGAGCGCGCGCGCGCGCATGAGAGGGGAGAGGGTCAGAGGGAGAAGCAGACTCCCCACCGAGCAGGGAGCCCGATGCGGGACTCGATCCCGGGACTCCAGGATCATGACCTGAGCCGAAGGCAGTCGTTTAACGGACTGAGCCACCCAGGCGCCCAGGAAAATGTATTATTTAAGTTCATACTGCAGTCCTCAATTCCAATCCAACATCACAGTTCTTTCCCACCTTCCCTCATGCAACAGTGAGAATTCTGGTTCCTGACAACATCAATATATTTATTCATTTGATCCACCGGGTAGTCTATCTTGAAGTACACCCAAAATGGCTTCACTGTAATCTCATCACTACCATTGCTGAGAGCAAACATACTAAGAATAAGGTCAGTTCTTTTGTCCTTAGAATATATCCTGTGCAGGGATATACAAGCAGAAAGGTGATTTAAAAGTCACCTGGGGGCATCTGGGTGGCTCAGTCGGTTAAGCGTCTGCCTTCGGCTCAGGCCATGATCCCAGGGTCCTGGGATTGAGTCCCGCATCGGGCTCCCTGCTCAGCGGGGAGCCCGCTTCTCCCTCTCCCGCTCCCCCCTGTTGTGCTCGCTCGCTCTCTCTCATTCTCTCTCTCCCTTAAATAAATAAATAAAATCTTTAAAAAAAAAAAAAAAAGTCACCTGAATTATTTTCTCTGTGTGGCTTGGTTATAATTTGGATATGCAGTTAGGCTCATTTGTTTTGTTTGTTTTCATTTGTTTTTGGTTTTACATTTGATTTTTTTTTAAATTTCCCAAATGTACTTTTTGTTCAAAGTCAAAACTACACAAAATGGTACGATCCAAGAAATCCCACACCATCTCAACTCCCTATAGGTGACTATTTTCAGTTTCAGGTTTCTCCTTCCTTTTTTTTTTCTAATAAGCATGTGTGTCTGTGAGAGAGAGTGTGTGTGTGTCCTTTGCACTTTGCTTTTTTTTTACACAACAATATATCCTGGAAATCATTTCACTTTTCACTAGGGATTTTCCTTCTTTTTTTTACTGCTGCTCAGGACTATTGTATGAATGTACCATAGTTGATTTCACCAGTTCCCTGCTGATGGGCATGTATATGGTGTCCAGTAGTTTTCTAGGACCAATTATCTTACAGTGAGTGATTTTGTGCATGTGTTGTTCCATATTTGTGAATTAACTGCCTATATGTGGGATTGCTGGGTCCAGACAGTGATGACTTTTGTACTTAATACTCTCTTTCATTAAACAAGCAGCAAACCTTGTACTCCAGAAACTGCACTGATGGGGGTGCCTGGGTGGCTCAGTCGGTCAAGCATCTGACTCTTGATATTCTTGATTTCCGCTCCAGTCATGATCTCGGTGTCTTGACATCCAGCCCCGTGTTGGGCTCCCTGCTCAGCAGGGAGTCTGCTTCTCTCTCTTTCCCTCTGCACCTCCCCCTGCTCATGGCCTCTCTAAAATAAATAAATAAATCTTTAAAAAGAAACTGCACAGAACAACAACAACAAAAAGTACCAGAGAGATTTACGAACGATATAAAAGTAAAGAAAACAAGATTGTCATTTTGGATTATGATAAATGCAATGCAGTAGACTGAAATGGGCAAATGTGATGAATGGTGCCTGGGGAGAGTATGTTCGATTGGTGACCCAGAAGGCCCTTCAAAGGTGACACTGGAGCCAAGATCCTAATGACAAGGAGGAGCCAACCATGGGAAGGTTTGTGGACAGTCTTCCAAATAGAAAAATAAATGCAAAGGGGTAGGGGCAGGCCACCCTTGGTCAGGAGCAAAGAGAAGGCCCCACAGGCTACAGAGAATGCAGGAGCAGACAGGTGAGGGTATGGATGGACGAGCTGGGAGCTCAGCTCACACAGAGTTGAGGTTTTTTGAAGATTTATTTATTCATTTTTGAGAGGGGGGAGGGGCAGAGAGAGAGACAGAGAATCTCAAGCAGACTTCCTGCTGAGCATGGAGCCCAATGCTGTGCTAGATCTCATGGCCCTGAGATCATGACCTGAGCTGAAACCGAGAGTTGGCCGCTTAACCAATTGAGCCACCCAGGCGCCCCCACACAGAGTTTTTATAAGCTACATCAAGGAGTTTAGATATGATTCCAAGGGCAATGGAAAATCATTTTAGGATTTTAAACAGGGATGCAATGTGATGTGACTTATTTTAAAAAGTAAGAGGTAATTCTGTTGTGTGGAGAACAGGCTGTAGAGGAGCAAGTATAGTAGAAAACCAGTCAGGAAGCTGTTGAAGGAGTTGGACAGATGGTGGCTTCCACTCGGGACTAGCAATGGAGAGGGAGGGACGTGGTCTGACAGGGTCTGTTTTGAGGGGAGATCCTGCAGGATTTGATGATATAGGTCAGTTTTATGTCATTCCCTATGATTACCAAAGGAGGAACACAGAAAACTAACACAACATTCCACAGTGGAATCTCATGTCACATTAAAAACACCTTTTTGATTATGGGGGTGCCCGGCCGGGCACCGGATCTTGGTCTAGGGGACATGAGTTTTTTGCCCCACGTCGGGTGTAGAGACTACTTAAAAAAAATAAAAGAGGGCGCCTGGGTGGCTCAGTCGTTAAGCATCTGCCTCCGGCCCAGGTCATGATCCCAGGGTCCTGGAATCGAGCCCCACATCGGGCTCCCTGATCAGCGGGGAGCCTGCTTCTCCCTCTCCTTCTGCTTGTGTTCCCTCTCTAGCTGTCTCTCTCTCTCAAATAAATAAAATCTTTAAACAAAAATAAAAATAAAAGAGAAAATGAAAAGAAAGAAATGTCATGTAAGATCACTCTCGGCCTTTTGGCGGGGAAGAAAAACCCCAAAAGGAACTCGAAATCCCCCACAATGCCACCACACGGAGATAATGGGTATTTACACTTGGGGGTATTGTTTCAGGCTTTCTGTGCATCTATCTATACCGTAGTTTACTAAGTGATTTCCGCTTTGCATTCTGGTTTCGCCTCTAGGACATGAGTCCTGTTTTCCACGGCCACTACCTGAGTTCCAGGGGCAACCATATCTCTCCTCGCCTCCGCGCGGCTCTGCCCGCTGGCAGGCTTGCCCTCCCACAGGAGCCACTTAGTGATCTTTCCAAAACGCAGATCTGATCCGCTCATCTCAGGGGTCGCCCCCTCCGAAGGCCACTTTGGGTTCCCCACCTGTACCGATGATGGGGGCGGGGGGCGGCCCGGTGTCCCTCGTGGGCTCCCTCCCATGTCCCATCCACGAATCGCGGCAAGGACGTCGAGCCGCATGTCGTGGGGACATTGAACCCGAGGAAGAGACGGGGCGGGCAACAGGCCACGAGTCTGGTGGCCTCACACGAGGTCTTGGACAGGGGTGGGGGGTGGGGCGGGGGTCGAGCTGAGGCACAACGGGTTTGCGGACGTGCGACGGGGTTACACGTCACTCGACGGGGCAGTGTTTCGCGAAGGAGCGCTCACTGGCCACGCAGCCAAGAGGAGTCTCCCGGAAGCCGGGGCCGCAGGGTCGACTTGGTAGAACCGAGCATGCTCCCGGCAGCCTCCCAAGGGAAGCGTCGTTTTGCGCAGGCGCCCTGGGAATCACACCGAGTTCTGAGGGGCGGAGCTTCGTGGAGAGCGCTCATTGGCTAGGCAGCCATGGGGCGGGGCCTCCAGGAGCTCCAGGCAGAGCTGTCTGGGGGAGAGGGGGACTGGTCAGGGGCCCTGCAGAATCACTGGGGAGGGGACGATGGGGGAATGTCGCGGGCGCTCCGGGGAGCCCGAGTTGCACTGCGTGCGAAGGCGCTGAGCTTTGTGAGGAAGCGCTCATTGGCTAGGCAGCCAGGGGGTCTCCCAGGGCCCAAGGGCGGAAAGGCCGACTGGGCCGGAAGCGACCACATGCCTGGCGGCCTCACTAGGAGCCCGTTTGCGCAGGAGCCCTGGGGTCGCATCGGAGACCGGGGTTCCCGGGAGGCGGGGCGAGGCGGCCATGCTGGCGGCAGGAGCCGACGCAGGCGCAGGCGGCGGGGCGGGAGGTGCGGACCACGGCCGGGACGGCCTGGCCTGCCATGGTGGCCGCGGCTGCCCCCGCCTTCCCGGCGGCGCGGGGACGGTGGCGGCTGCTGCCTTCTGCAGGGCCCGGCCTGTCTCGCGCCCATGGCACGTCCCGGGGCCAGGCGGAGACGCTGCTTCCACGACTCTAAGGCTGGAAAGCCGAATACACGTATTGTATCCTACCCGAACGGACAGCGGGGGGGTGGGGGGCCTGGGCCGGGGGCTGGCTGTGGGCGCCAGGGGCTGCAGAGGGACGGAAGGGTCGGGGCAGCCTGGGGGCGGAGAGGGAGAGGGGCAGCGGTAACCGGGGGCGGCTGGGGGTGTCCGGCCCGGGGCTGGTGTGGAGGGAAAGAAGCACAGAGGGGAGCCGGGGGTGCCGGGGGAGGGAGGCGCGGCAAAGAGATGCGAGCAGGGTGCGGACGGGGTGGCTTCAGAGGGCTGGGTCGGGGGAGGAAGGAGGGAGAGCAGGGGCGTGACCCGGTTGCTGGGGGCGGGGGGCGGGTATGGGCCAGGCTTGGCGTCACGGGGCGGGGGACGGGGAGGTTAAGAAATGAGAGCGGGGCTTAGGTCTCTGGCTGAGTGGGCGTGACTACGGCCGGGAGGGGGTGGGAGCTGTCCCGAAGCGGACGGAGCCAGTCAGGGTGGCCTGGGAAGGGGGGCCCAGGCACAAAGCCGTTTGGATGGTGCCTTAAGCGAATTTCCTCCAGTGCCCTCTGCGTGCCTTTCCCGTCCAGCTTGGAGGCGGAGATCGCCTATCGGTCCCTGACCCCGGATGCCGAACCCCACAGAGGGGCTGTTGAGAAGCAGCTCACAGTGAGTTGCAGCGTCGTGGCCGGGTAAGTTCTGGAAGGGGCCGGGTGGGAGTGGCAGCAGGTGGCAGGACCGGTCTCCACTCTGCTGGGCGCTCTGCTGGACACACAGAGATCCTCCCTAAAGGGTTACTTCCAGGGACGGGGCGGGGTGCGGGGGTTGCAGTCTCGGCCTGCAGCCTGGACTGGGGTACAAGGGAGGGGGGCATTCATGGGGATGTCAGGGTTCGTGTACTGGATTTGGGGGGGCGGCAGAGCAAGGAAGGGGAGAAGCTTCCATCTCCAGTTTGGTTGTCTTTTCTGCTCCCTTTCAGCCGCTGGAGAGGTGAAGATCCTCGCCTCCTCCGAATTTCCATCATCAGCTTTCTGGACCAGCTTTCCCTGGTGATGCAGACCATGCGACGCTTTGGGCCCCCCGTTTCCCGCTAAGCCTGGGCTGGGGAGAGGGGGCTAAGGCCTAACCTCTTGTCCCTTCCCAAGGCACTGTGTCCTTCCCTGGGTCAGTGATCCCTGTAGTAGTAGCTGCAACGGTGTTAGGGGGGCCTAATCTTCTGGTGTTAGGGGGACCCGATCTTCTGCCACTGCTGGGCACACTGTAGGGCACTCAGGGTCCATTTGTTTTGTTTGCTGCTTAAATGTTTGTTACTGCAGAAAATAAAACTGAGCTTTGCTATTCCGTGTCTAAGTTCCTTTTCCACTGTGGCACCACCTCCGGATAGTCTTCCCATTGTCCTCAGGTGGCAGAGGAGGTTCTGGGATGCGGGTACTTGAGGAGGGAAAGGTGACTGAAGACGGATTAGGAAATGGAAGAACACAGGTTCTGTCCTTCACTATCAGCGTGCCCCTCTCTGGCAAATTTTTTTAAAACTTAGTCTGGGGGCATCTGGGTGGCTCAGTTGGTTAAGCATCTGCCTTCAGCTCGGGTCATGATCCCGGGGTCCTGGGATCGAGTCCCATCTCAGGCTCCCTGCTCAGTGGGGAGTCTGCTTCTCCCTCTGCCTCTGCCCCTGCCCCTTCCCCCTCCCCCCTGCTCATGCTCACTCTCATGCTCTCTTTCAAATAAATAAAATCTGTAAGAAAAAAAAATGGTTTGCATGAGAAGAGCAAACAAGCCAGAAACACTAGACTCAGAGCTTTGTGCCTGACGGGGCTTAGTTCAGTGAAGTGGAGTGCTGGACAATTGTCTGAGCTTTTTGGTGGAAGGATGTGCTCTCACTGAAATAGTCTGTGTCTTGCAGACTCGCCAAGCCCAGGAAATCTGGCAGCTCTTTGGTGGATGTCGTGGAATTTTCTCCATAGATGATCAGGTTTCCTCAGGAAAAAGGCAGTTTTACGTCTTCTTTTCCAATCTGGATACCTTTTAGTGAGGAATTTCTCTCCTGGTTGTAGGTTGGACTTTCCCTGCTTCTCTACATGCTTGGTAATTCTAAATTGGATGCCAAACATGATTTTCCTTGGGTTCTGGATATCTTTGTATTCCTAGACAGATTTATGAGCTTTATTCTGCGATGCTGTTAAGTGACCTGGAACAGTTTGATCCTCTTGAGTCTCACTTTGAAGATGTCTTCCATGCACCAGAACAGCTCAGTGTTGGAGTTGTTTTTACCCCCACGCTACTGCGGCAACACCCTTCTGGGTGGACTGCCTGATGCCTGCCGAATTGTGAGGTTTGCCCTCCTGGCCAGTGGGGACAGCTGCTAGTCCCTGTCCTGCTTGAGCGCCGGACGAAGTTACCTTTCATTCGTCAGGTGGTCCTTACCCCAGCCTCGGGTAGTTCCTCACAGGCTTGTGCTGATCAGTGGTCTGCAGCTTACTCCAGGGGGACCCTTTGGGGATGTGCAGGCTTCTCTCCCTCCACTGTGCCCCAGGCCCTCTACCCTGCCAACTCTGGGCCCTCGGACTTTCCATTCCGTTTCCTAAACTGGGGGTGTCCGTTGGGGTCCACCAGGAAACTCCCTCTCCAGATAATTGCTGGGCTCATCTCTGATTTCTCCTCTCCCAGACATCACTGTACTTCATGCACGATACCTGCTTTCTTTTCTTTCTTTTTTTTTTTAAGATTTTATTTATTTATTTGCCAGAGACAGACGGGGGCAGGATACAAGCAGGGGGAGTGGCAGGCAGAGGGAGAAGCAGGCTCCCCGCCGAGCAGGGA